CCGATCTTTTTCTATTTGTTGCTTTATTTTCTGGCAGCCTCTGTGTCTGTGTGGGGCTCGTTACTTTCCCCAGGTCCCCTTTGCTGCTCCCTGCCCGCTCCAGTCCCACCGGCTCCTCCGGCCTTATGATTTAGTGGTTCAAGATGTCCTACTGTGCCGGGCGGTGTCGGCATGAGTGTGGACATTTGGTTCCCGGGGACAAGAAGCAGTGGTGCACCTTGTGTGACTGCTTCTTGTCCCCTGGCAATGCCCCAGGTCAGGGCAGGTAACCCCAGGTGGGTAGGGGAGACTGGGGTCAGCAGCTGTGGTGGCTCAAGCAGCCTTGCCTGGGGGCCTCTGGGAGCTGCAACCAGGTGCTCCTGCAGCTGGCAGCCGGAAAAGGGCTCCAGCTGGCCAAGCTCTGGTTTTGGGTGGTGTGCGCTGCTGCCACACGCGCCGCCCCACTTCTTTTGGCGTGGAATGAGTGTGGGAGATCCCAGGGTGAAAACCTCCCTGTGCCAGCAGCACGGGGAACGCTTGTATGTGGGGTGTGGGGTGCTGCAGGCGGGTCTGCAGCACCACGTGCCACACGTGCGCGCTCATCTGGATATGGCACAGGTGCCTGGTCAGGTAACTCTGCCTTCCTGAAAGAAGGGAAAAGAAATGTTTCCTTGGAAGGCCCATCTGGCCTGGATGTGCTCCTGGTTCACAGTGGTTTTCTTTGTATGTATGGGAAGTTGGGGCCAACGTTTATGCAGCTTTTGAGTTCTCAAAGTGAGAGAGAAACATTTTTCTCTCAAAAGTAAAACTAAAGCTATATGCCAGGTGGGTTTCAAAACATGAATATGGCAGGCAAGAATTCACAGTTAATGGGGCCAGAAGGAACCACTGATCCTCTAGGCCAGGTGTGCTCAACCCCTAGCCTGCGGGCCAGATGTGGGCTGCATATCCATGGCATCCAGCCCTCAGAGCTCCCCATGGGTCAAGATTTTGATCCAAGGGAAGTGTTGGCAATTAATAACTGGCTTCTGCCTGTTTTGGCCACCTGAACGCTGAACATGTTTGTTATTAGTTCAGTCTACGCGGTTTAGAAAAACCTGTGAAGATTGAATTGATTCTGCCTTGGGCTTCTTGAACCTCTGTACTTAGCCATGTTGTTTACAAAACAAGATGAGTCATAAGATAAACAGATATATTTAATTTTTCCTCTTTTTTTTATTAAAGATAAATTTGCCATAAAATAGAGGATAAATTGCTTTGAAATGTCCTGTTTGTGTAAGCAAGTAGCTGGGTAGTCAAACCATTCAGGGGCTATCTTTTTAGTAGATCCAAGTATCTGCTTAAATTACAGAACTTAAGTAATAGAGGGCAATATGCTTGCAAACTGGTACTCGTATATATTTTAAAAACATTAAAGCTCCATCTCATCCTAGGGAAGAATAAAAAAAGAAACATTACTAAAGCAGTTGCCTTTTAACACAACTAAAATAATTAGCTCCAGAGATAAGGGGGAAAATACAAAACACCCTTTTTGTTAAACTGTAAGTTTAGCTGAGTAATCGCAAGAAAAAAATAGCACTATATAAGAGTACCCTATAGGTTTAAGGAAAAGACAAAGCTATATTTCAATAAAAATAAATAAAAAGCATATAACAAGAAATTAGTGGTAATATTTCCTTTGCTAGAAAAGGAGCCATAAAATTATGCTGTTAGTATTGCTTAAAAGAAATCTAAGTTTAAAAGGAAACATTTCTATTTTTAAAGATCTTAAATATAAATGTTTACAAAATTATGTTAGACTGCTAATGCAGTACACAAGCCACTGATACAAATTGGTATTAATAAAATGATATTGGGAAAAGTTTTAGTCTGGTGTAAATATTATTGGTTTCATTATATTTTTGTCAGGCACAAATTGGCCTGGTACTCTGGTGTCTTTTAGTTATGGCATTACACTTTCTTTTTGTTGTAGTAATGAATATTTTTCTCAGCAGCTGTCACTTGATTCTCCTAAAAGTTGATAAGACTCTTTTAAGGAAAATGTTTGCATTCCCTTCCATTTTTGTTGTACTTCACTAAATTGGTCTTTTCCACATACAGGATTAATGAGGCTTTCTGTTAAAATAATCCCTTTGGTTCAAAGTTGCTGTGCCTAAAAGATCAGTGTCATGTATCAGTTAGGTTTTTTAACAATTAACACTAGTTCAAGTTTCATAAGACTTCTAAGATGAAATGTCTGTATTAGACCTGGCTAATAAGGAGAAATTTACACTGAAATTAACTTCTTAATTGCTTTTGCTTATTAACTGGCACCTTTTAGTAAGATCTTCTATTATCAATTCAAAAGGTTACTTTAAACAGTTTAAACACATTAACATAATGAATCTGAGGCCTATTTTGAAGTGACCAAGTTGGCAGTGCTACCTGATTTTTATCCTGGTGTAGTGCTGAAATTTTCTTTACAATGTTAATGTTATGTTTTTAAAATTACTGAACTCATAAGTACATGTAGAATAGTTTTGCAGAATTCTTTAAAATAAACTAGGCTATGAAGAATATAATTTGTGTAACAGGTTGACAATATTTGCCTAAAACAATCTACTGTATTAGCAGGTGTTAAGCCTTTGGCAAAAAGATTACAGGACTGATCCTGCAACAATAAATACACATGCATAGAATTTAACCCATGTATTTTCTCTTACAGAAATGCAACATGAGTGGGCTCTACTAACTTGCAGAAGAAGGTAGCTTGTTGCCACATGTGGCTAAAAGGATATGAGAGTGGCTTTATAGGAAGAGCAGATGTAGAGTGTGAGGTAAGCCACCAAGTTTGAATTACATTGTATTATCATTCATTTCTTTCTTAATAAAACCAAACCCTACCATGTGGTTGCTGATTGACCAGGTTAGAAATGGCCCCTACATGCCTAGAGGTCTTGATATTTTATCATGGTATTTTAAATGTTATGCTTTAAATCTGGTGTTTTCAACCTTCTTAAGGAGGGTATCTCCATCCCCCGCCTCACACCGTGTCTGGGTGGGTGGCGGTGCTCTGTCCCTGCCTGCCTGTACCCCCTAGCCCCTTTCCAAGTACCCCTTGGGGTATGCGTAGCCCTGGTTGACAACCCCTGCTTTAAGTGGTACTTTTATCATGATATTTTAAATTTTACAGGACATTTAGGCCATGGGAAGAACATAAACGAAGTAACTCACTTAAGGCTCAGTCAAATTAAAGTCCTAAACCAAACCAGGATGTGGGCTAGGGAGATGACACCAGGGAATTCTGCCATACAGAGGCAGGACTTAACTAATGGGTGCAGTTTAGGCAAAGTCTTTGTTCTGTGGAGCAAAGCTTCCTGGCTATGTACACACGGTTGTCTCGGACGGCCGGAGCCGACTCAAGGTGATATACAAACTGCTCGGTAGTTTGGGCGGGCTGGTGAATGGAGAGGCAGACAAAGCGTATTGGTTGCGAAAAGCTTTACTTACGCCGCTAATAGCCGCAATGCAGGTGGTCCGGTCGCTTAAACAACTCCATGAGTTGCTCCAGCTGGCAAGGCTCAGGCCAGCTAATCCATCTACAAATTAAGCCGGCAGGGAAAGGGTACATCGAAGGATTGCGCTCGGCGACGGGGAGAAGAATCGATAGGTGATCAGGCTATCGATCAGCTCAGCCGCAAGTCAGATATCTTTAGAGGCACTCTGTAGTGTGCTCAAAGTTCTCCGACTTGGGCGGAAGTTGCACAAAATTTTATATGGCCAGCAAGCCAATTACTAGCTGCCACGTAGGAATAATTTAGAACTGGCCAATAGCGGGACACAAATTTGCATGCGAATGGTGGGAACTCTCTTGCACCGGGGTTTTCTGTTGCAGCAGAAAACTTTTGCTGTGCAAGAGACTCTCATGTGGCGGGAAAATTCCATCGTGCCGAGGCACTAAAATCATTGGGTTGTGACAACGGTGAAAAAGTCTGAGGCTGAATTGATTCAGTCTTTGCAGGTTGGTCTAAGCTGCAGAGATTAAACTGAGAAATAACTCGACACACATTTACTTTTGATTCAGGAAATGCAGCCACATGGCTGCAGTGACTCAGGCCAGAAACCGGGGGGCACACTAGAGCATGGCTCTCTGGCACATAACCAGCAAGGGTTGTGTGTTTGCTTCCTCTTCCTGCTGCCTCTGATGTCTCTGGGATTTTCAGTCCAGAATCACAACATTAGGACTCTGCAGGGTTGCTCATCACTTCTTCCTGCTTTTAGGTGCTTCTGGGATTTGTAGTCCACGGTGACAGCCAGCAGTAAGTTTGAGTGGGGAAAGGGGTGTTTAACCCTCCTCCCTGGCTCCAGACCCCAGCAGGGGTTTGCCTGGGGAGGGGGGCAGTCCCCCCCCCCAACTCCCCCCCCCAAAAACAAACCTTTCTTTGATGGAGCAGACAGCACAGATTAGCTCAGGGCTGGAAAGCATGCTCGGTTGCTGGGGGACTGATTTAACTTCAACCAGGAAGGGGTCTGGGCAGGGCCGTCCCTAGGGGGTTGGGGAGTGAATTGTAGTGACTGACCCAGGCCCTGTGGTCAGTGCCATAAAGGCCCCACTGCGGCTTCTACATGCTGCCGCTGCTGAGAGCTGCTGGCTTGACCCAAATCAGTTAAGGCTTATACTACATTCAACCAGGCTTTTCTTAAATTGGTTTCAGCCATTTTGAAACTGGTTTATGTACACTGAGCTTCTGTTCTGTTACAGGTTGAAACCAGTTTCTGATTACTTAAACCGATTTATGTCCTTAGAGCTTATGTGCCCACTGGAGGGTTTTTAAGGAAAAAGATGGGATTGAAGAATCTATAAGTACAAGGAGCCATATGTTGTTCTCTCTTCACAGAAGTTCTGGTTGAAAATGGTTAATCTGTTCTATGGATAAAATATTTACTTTTTATTAACTATGCCTTTTGTTTATTCTCTGCAACTATCTGTGTATTTCTTATAATTTTATAACTCATGCTCCAGCCTAGTGATATATTACTTAGAGATGTTTTTAGGTCCAAAGCCCACTGAAAGTCTGTGGCTGTCTCTACATTTTATTTAATATGCTCTTCCACTGACCAAATTATTTCTGTGCTCCAGTGATATGCATAGGATTTTATATACTTTACATATATAGCCTTTACACTTCCAGAAACACTGCATAAAGGTCAGCTAGCTTATTCTCACAGTCTCCATATAAAGTATCTTTTTATAAATCGTTATATTGTACTGATAATGAGGATATTTTAACTGCACAAGCTGCTAGAGTGCCTGATGTTGAATGCATCTGAGGGACAAGTTTTGAGTGCATCTAAACTAAGCATATGTTTAAAAAACATAAAGTAGAGGTAGTAGATGAATATTTGCTTGAAAGATAGGTATTTTCTATTTGTGAGAAATTTTATTAAGTAAAAGCTTAACTCTTACACACCTATACAGGAGGAGAATAGTTTCTGAATTTGTACAATTGCAAGCATGTAATGTACTGCTTTGGTTCCTACCTCTTTTTTTTGAAAGGTGCTCATTCCTTGGGGATGAAGTCAAGCTCTAGTTCTATCACTGCAGACTTCAGCATTAGCACTGAAAACATAGGATTCTTTTCCTGGGTTGATGAAAGTAATTTCTTGTTTGCTGTGTCAAACAAAGCATGCTATTTGTCACATTGTGGTTTGTGTATCTTTTTAGAAGCTTTCAACTTTGATCTGAGTCAAGGTACACTCAGTAGCAGAGATGACAGAAGTAACAAACCAGTGATGTGCATTGTCACTCATACAAACTCTTTAAGTCAACAAATACTAAGACTTAGATGTAGAAAATCGTATTACTTTTGCGGAGGCTTGTGCATTCTTGTGAGAAAATGCAGACCTTTGCCTTTCTTGTTTCAGACAAAGGTGTGGAACAATTTATTAGTTAAGGATTCAGTTCAGTGTGTGCAATCAAAAGGTGCCTCTTGTAGTCCAGATTCTGGCCCTTGCTTGTATTTTCTAGGTAAACAATTGCATTTAAAAGACATTGCAGAGCTGGGCTCAGTAGCACATAAAAGCTGCTTTCTTTAAACTGTCATCACAGAGGATTCCAGAACGTGCTTTTAATACTTCCAGGCTTGGTGTTTGTGTCTTTTTCTCTTTTTTATTTTAAATGCTATTTGAAATAGCTTTCTTATTTAACTTTCACCTGCCTTTTACCTGATCTGTGGCAGCTTTGAGGAAACTCACTTTGTATGTGACAAGGCAAAGTTTTAGAAAAATATTTCGCAATATGACTTTTTAAAAGTTACAACTTTATTAAAGGCGCCTGTTCAAAGCCCATAAAAGAGAATGTAAGAGACATAAAATGCTAACAAATGAACAGTTGGCTTCAAGTTGTTATGACTGACTATATCTTAAGGTAGACTAATTGTTTATATTTCTTTTGTTCAATAGTTTCATTTCTGGTTTCAGATTTATTACCCATTTTAAAGAAATAACATTGGAAGAGAATGAATGGCTTAAATAAGCAAACAGTCAGTTAAGAGAGTTTGGATGTATGTATGCAGAATCTGCCTACAGACTGTTGTGGGACTTGATGAATCTCTGAGAATATGGTCTTTACCATGCTTGCCAAGCTTGGAAGCTTTAATGTCTTGTTGTCTATGGCATGTCTTAAGGCCAGAAGAGTTCATTAGATAGTCAGCTCTGATCTCTTACAAAAAATAGTTCATAGAATTTTATGTAGTAACCCAAGTATGGATCCCTGTAAATTGGCTTGTCTAAAATGTGTATTTTAGAAAGGTATTCACTCGTTTTTTGAACACAGTAAGAGCTGGAGTTATCCACTATTTCTCTGGCAGTCTGTTCCAATAGTTAATTGCTTTCACTGTTGGGTTTTTTTTTTGTTTTTTTTTTTTTGCTTTATATCTATATTAAATGTGTCTGGCTCCAGCCTCCATTCTGGTTTTTTTTGGTGTGCCTTTCTCTAGTAGGTTAAAATCCCTTTAGTACCTACTGCTTTCTTCCTGTGAAAGGTTCACAGGAGCTAAAATGAATTCTCTCAATCTGCTTTTTCATGAGCTCAACAGATTAATTTCCTCAAGACTCAAGCCCCTAAATCCTCTTGGCTGCATCCCCTTCAACTTTTCAACAAGGCCGTTAAGAGTGGGCACTAGAACTCCATGCAATTATTCTGCATTTGGTTTTACCAGAGCCATATATAGAAATGAAATCACTTCCCAAATCTTACCCGTTACTCCCTTGTTTGTACATCCAAGGCTCATGTTAGCTCTTTGCCACAGCTTTGCCAGGGGCAACTTGTGTTAATCTGTTTGTTCACTCTGAGCCTTAAATCCTCTTTAGTTGCTGCTTTCTAAGACACATTCCAGAAATATGGGCCATGTTTCCTGTCCCTAGTGGTATTGATTTGTTTGAACAAGCCCACATGGTGATCTAGGTTGCACTGTGAGGCTGCCCATCGTTTACTACTTTGCACCCAGAATTTTTGTGCTACCTGCCAGTTTTACCTGTAGAACATTGCTAAAAAACTGAATAGTGTTGGGCATAGAACTGTTCTCTGTAGAATCCCAATAGGAATGCTCTTTTTTGAGATTCTAGCAAATTTGTAATCCACTTAATGGGGGCATCACTGGCACTTTATGATCCTATATTTTAGTAGGAGCCTCGCTGGTAGGTTTTGTAAGGGTCTTGGCATCCTCTTTGTGGGTACCTTGCCCCCCAGCGATGTTAGGGTGAGACCCAGTCTTGGTGCCGCCTAGATGGTCCAGGCGCTGCCTCTTCTTGCCTGCCACGTCTTTGATGTTGTTGG